CATGCATAGCATTTGTTCTTCCCATTTTTTTAAAAATAACAAACATGTGAGGTACTTTGGGCTGATAGAGAGCGACTGGCTCAAAGTCAGCCATGTTGTGAGTAGATTTGAACTGTCTCCTGACTCCTAATCCAACACCTTAACCATTAAATTATGCTGAATCTATATATAATAAAACTCTCGTGTCTGTTTGTTTCTTTATAATCTTCAATTGGGCAAAACATAAAATATTACGGCAACGTTTTTTGAATCAACATACAGGTAGTCCTCAACTTGTGACCACAATTGAGCCCAACTTTCTGTTCCTAAGTGAGACATTTCTTAAGTAAGTATTGCCTCATTTTATGATCTTTCTTGGCACCATTGTTAAGTGAATCACTGGAGTTGTTAAATTAGTAACACAGTTGTTAAATTAATCTGGCTTCCTTGCTGAATTTGTTTATCAGAAGGTGGCAAATACCCACAAGACACTGCAACCATCATAAATATGAGTCACTTGCTAAGTATACGAATTTTGATCATGTGTCCTTGGGGGTGCTGCAGTGGTTGTAACTATGAAAAATTGTCATACGTCACTTTTTTCAATGCTGTTGTAACTTTGAATGGTTACTAAATGAATTGTTGTAAGACAAGGACTACCTCTATTTCAAATGGGCTAACTTACAGAAGACATAATTTTGGCAAAGTTGTGGCTGTTTCAGTGCTTCCAAGCCATACTGGCTTCTACTGTACATTGCAGTGGAGTTACCATGGTAACGGCTTCACTGTACTCCACAAGGAAGCTCCCTCTGGCAAGGGAGAAAATCCAACATTAGAAATTACCTTTGGTCCAGTCATTTTCCCCCTATAAATAAATACCTGGACAAAGCCAGGTTATCGGCTAGTAGAGATATAAAGTAAGCCTCTTGGGGTAGGAGGAAGACTCTCTTGTGTACCTCCTAATACTATCAGTTGGGTGAGTTCAATGATAATCTTTTTTCTTTTTTAAAAAAAAGCAGCTTACACACTGTAAGCCCACCTCTAAAGCAAGCACAATGAACCGCCAATCAAAATCAGGATGAGTCTCCATCCTTAATTCTCAGGTAAAGTTTTTAGTCACACAGGAAGCTAACAAAATAGCTTCTTCATCAGTTTAGGAAGCTGAGGAAACAAAACCTAATTGAGGCTTGATGAAGCGTGTGCACAGCACGCATTTCTATGCAGTCATATTCGATCGATCATTAAGGGTCTCCAGCTGGGAGAGGATGGATAGAAGTGATTCGGCATGATGATGGAGCAAATTTTCATTCTTAAATAGAGTCTGGAAAACATTGAGGCATTAACATTTATTTAACATGAAGCAACAAAAGAAAAATAAACTACCTGGTTCCTTCAAACATTTATGCATTATCCATCATAGCAACTAAGTAAAAATTAAAGGTCATAGGTCCATATGATCTTTACCAAAAACAACAGCAATCTCAGACAAATGATGACTAGGATATATCTATATGGTTCCATAAGTTAAATAAGAATTATGTGACTCAGAATGAAAAAAAGCTTTTTTTTCAAGGATGAGCAATTTTCCCTTCATGTATAACACTTTACCATTATTCAGAGGCAAAAAAAAGCTGTTTAGTAAGCTCTAAAATATATTTATAATATTTAAAAATAAAAAACCCATTAAAATAATATTATGATTATTATTTAGATTATTTATATGGCTGCCTTTTCAAACTGTCTTGGGGCATTTAAAAAATACCCCATCCCCCCCACACACAAAAAGACCCAGTTTGGTCTGGTGGTTAAAGCCCCAGCTAAAGAGCAAGAGATGATAAGTTCCAGTCCTACTTCAGCTATAAAAGTTGGTGACTTTGGTTCAGTCCCTCTGTCCCTCTCTCTCCCTCTCTCTTGCTCTCTCCCCCTCTCTCTCCCTCGCCCTCTATCCCTCTCCCACTCCCTCCCTTCCCTCTCTCCCCCACCAACCCATCTCACAGGATTTTGTGAGGAAAATAGGAAGATGAAGGAATATTAGATATGTCTGCCACTTTCAGTAATTTGTATAAATAATAAAGGTGGGATAAAAATAAATAAAAATACCCTCCTTGGGCAAGAAACAAAAGGTAATAGAAAGTACAGAACATACCCCTCTCGTTTGAATACAGTAGACATTATTTGTCTTTCTTCATGTTGTTCATCCCATGCAAGCTGCAAAAATATTATCAAGATTCCAAACAGATGCCTATCCCTGGGCTAGGTAAAACATATCACAACACATATCACATATTTCCACATTTTTAAGAAGGCCCTGCTTTTACCTTAAAGCATGAAACTCTTGAAGTTAATTTTCTAAAGATGAAACAATTTCCAACCATAAGTAGGAAAAGTAAATCCTATCTGCCAGTAAGAAAAACTGCCAGTAAGCTCCACTATGACCAATATTAATTGTTTGATTGTATATAATTGTAGGCAGTATAAATAACTTCATATATATAGAGAAAAATATGTGGGGACTAAAGGCCCCACAAACAGTCTGCTGCCATATGAATTTATCCATTGGTTGAGTTTTTCTGAGACTCTGCTTTATAGGTGCTTCCATGAGTTATGCAGGGCAAGAAATCAGTACAATTTGGTTTGTAAATCAATTTCCTACATCTTTCCATGTGCACAGAAATTGACATTTTTGGAAATTTGATGATGTGGTTTGCAGTTCCAAAACTACTCATGAAATGTAGCAGTGGTTAAAAGCACATCACAAATAATACATTACATAATAGAAATGTTTTTGCAAGTGTACAGGACAGAAATACAATGTGGTGTTTGCTGAATTTGTTAATCAATGTGGAAACAAAATACCATTATAGTCAGAAAAATAAAAAACTGTGCAGAAACAAAACTGAAAGATTTGCACTAAAATACAAATTTTACTTACTTAAAGATTTTAATGTAGCATTGACTTTCCCCCCTTCTTTTAGCTTTCAATCAAGGCTATTATTTTCAAACCTTTGAGAGATAATAACATTTTGCTATGTTTTTAAATATGGTTTCCTTTAAAACCATATACCCCTTTTAAGAGCAATTGTATTTTGATGTTTGAAAGCAACTTTATCAGGTGGTTAAATGTGGGGTGTAAATAATTCAAATAAATAAATAAGGTTCAGGGTTATTCAACACCTGTTCCTTATGTAATTGAACTACTAGTCTGACCTACAATTTTTCACATTTCCTAGACATATCATTTGAGCCTGCCTATCTATCTATCTATCTATCTATCTATCTATCTATCTATCTATCTATCTATCTATCTATCTATCTATCTATCTATCNATTATTGAGAATCCCCACAGACATTGGTCACATTCATATCCTACTTCCTTTAGCTTACATTGTCACGTCATCATGCAACGTATCAGAACATTTTTCTCCTTCACTAAAGCAGGGGTGGGCGTGGCCAGTGCGTGACACATCTGGCCCGTGGGTCAGGAATTTGACAGCCCTGCTTTAGAATGTTTTCCTATTTTATCTGAGGACATGAAAAGTGTAATAGTCTTAAATTTAAAGCACACAAAATTTACACATGAAAAAAATTGCCTCATGTCTGAATCAAATGTTTTTTTCTCTTACTCTCTCTTTAATGTACAGCATAGCTTTTAATTTTGCTCTTCTATACAGTCACACTGATTTTTTCCAACAATAGGGAAATAAATGTCACTTTTATGCATTTCTGAACTTCCTTCCATATTTGGCAGGGAAAAAAGTTTGCAACTGGATGAAAGTTACTGTAGTACTTTTTATTCAGAACAAAATCTTCATGAACTTTTTCATTCTTTTCAAAACCTCTCAAACTCAAATTGCTTTGTTATTGTTCTTTCCAAGAAGTACATTCATTTTAGTTTGGAGGCTTTCAGTGAGAATATGAAACTATGAAATGTTTATGTTCAAGGCTCGGGCTTTGCAAGATTAGGAACCAGAGTGTTGCCCTCATTGTGAAACTCCTATCCAAAGAATGAACGTTTGGCTCTCCCTCCAGTTAAAGAGCATTATAAACTGTTCTTCTGTTTTCTTACAATGTTTAATTAACAGTATCTGGCTTTTTAAACTGCTACTGAGGGTTTTATATTCTTATTTTTTCCCTGTGAAAAAAAGCTGCTCTGATGCGGCTTTGTGCTGTTTTATTGATTTATACAAGCCAATATGCACAAGCAGCCTTGAAAGAATCTTTCTTTCCTGAAGTAAAACACAACAGGATCAAAATAAAGAGCTAGAGGGAGATATGGCAATCTGTGTCTGTCTTCTATTTATCTAAGCTCATTTTTATAGCCCTTTAGCGTTTTCCTTCATCATTTTTGTGGACTGTTATCCCCACCTTCTTTGTTGGTTTATCATTTAGCTAACAGTAAGGTATCTAAAATACCCTGTACTATACAAGCAAAACTTCATGGAACTTAATGGAGCTTTCCTTCCTTCCTTCCTTCCTTCCTTCCTTCCTTCCTTCCTTCCTTCCTTCCTTCCTNATCTATCTATCTATCTATCTATCTATCTATCTATCTATCTATCTATTTATCTATCTATCTATCTATCTATCTCCAAAATGTTCCCACAAGGGTTTTATGCTACTCCCAAACCAGGATACCTGCCATTCCATGCTACTGCCTCTGTTCAGCAGCTGAATGGATTAAGTTCCAGCTCAATTCTGATGCAAAAAGAACCATTCTCAGCTGGAAATGCAGAATGTTGTACAAGTTTTCAGACAGCACTCTACAGGATGCCTGCCTGCAAACTGGGAGAAGGAAGGAAGAAGAACATCACTGCCCAACCAGATCCTCTAAAGGAAAGGTTGCCTTGACAGTTTTGCAAATCCCACTTCATATAACAGGCAAAGCAGCAAAGGTGAAATTTTTTAAGATGCTGTCAGATTGCCCCTTTTTTTTAGGGAAGGGAGAGGTGAGGTAAAAAAAAAACAGGCTGTTTTTTTTCTTTTTTTCTTTTTTTTACAGAATAATGTTAAAAGAATTTTTGCTATTGAAGAATTTTTATTTTCAGCAGATGAAATTTGTGATTTGATTTTCATCTCTTAAACTGCTTTAATTATCAGGTTTTTTATAAAAAAACTAAATAAACTATTCCTCAAAGAGTAAGGAATGAAAGTTGCAGCAGCAAGAAAGTGTCCATTATTTACCTATTAATATATTTTTTCTTTTAATAGCAAAACTCTCCATCCTACAGCACTATCAGCAAGAAAAATTAACAACCTGATGCTGCCTTAGGAAACTTCAAAATAATTGTCATTATGACCAAATATCTATCTGTTTTTCAAAATGCATTCCATTACACAGAGATTAGATAATGCAGAGATGAGAAGCTTATTGAAATTTAGGAAATGTTTTATCTGCCTCTTAGCTGAGATCTGGAGGAGATACCTTGAAGGTATTGAAACTGCCAAGCGTTTGCTATGAAAAGACCCAGGAATGTGAGTTTTGTACCTGTATATAAGTAGCCCATTGGCATTCATTCCTTGTTTCGTTATGGATGACGCCGACACTTTTAAACTTTCAGCATCTGTTAAGATATATCTTTTGACCCATGCTTTTTACTGTCTTATTTAACACAATATAATTTTATTCACACAAGCGCATCACCTCTGTACTTTTACCTTAACCTGTCTCATACAAAAATGAAATATTGCATCCTTAATCGTCTCTCTGAAAATTTAAATTTTAGGATAGCAAAGTTTTTTTTTCTTTTAAAGGACATGAAATTTTACTCTCTTGTAAATGTTTCACAAAACTTTTCTTTCATCTGAAAATGTATATACAATCATTTACAAAATTACAAATTACATATATCACTATTTCTCTGAAAAGTAAAAATCTTAGCTTTCCTTTATGAATTCATAGACTAGAACATAATTAGAAAAAAACATTTTCTCAAACATGTATTTAAAAAAGAAGTAAATTATTCTTTAAGCTTTCATCAAAGTAGGTAGTCTCGAACTCACCTCAGTACATGAGTTGACCCATTGATAGTAGTGGTAGAACAAGGTACCGTTTGTTCCAAGATGGAAGGTCTTCGATATCGTTCATCACCACAACACAAGATGATGAGGAAGGCACGTCTGAAAGACTTGTTCAAGAATGCATAAAGGAAGGGATTCAGTCCTGAATTGATGTATCCCAGCCACAAGAAAGCGGTCCATATCTGATCAGGAACTGCATAATGTATGAAAGGGTCTATAATGTTTGTAATAAAGAAAGGTGCCCAGCACAAGCAAAAACACCCCATGATGATACAGAGGGTCTTTGCAGCTTTAGTCTCAGTCTTCATACGGTGTGTGCTATGCTGATCTGGGTGTTGGGATCGCCCATCAGTTGGTGCTCCTGCGCGCTGTAAGATTCGTATCTGGTGAGCATGCTCCTTTGCTGTAATGTATATTCGGTAATAGGCTAGAACCATTAGTAGAAATGGAATGTAGAATGCTACGACTGAACAGGTGATGGCATACGGTTTGTTCACCATGAATATGCAGTAAGTTGAGTTGGATTCATTGTTGAACTGCCTTTTCTCCACCTGAAGAGGTAAACAAACAAACAAAAGCACAGAAATATTAGAGACTTAAGGAAATATCCCTGAAAATAAAATATTCTTTCTTAGCTTCATTTACCCATTGCGTACAAATGATGTTAGCATCACAGATCTTTCTTCCTCAACCTCTAATACAATTTTTGTCTCACAATTAATCCATTTTTTTCTTTCATACTTATGATTTGTCCTATTCATATTTGTCCTATTTTTCTACTGTAGATAACTCTCTTGAATGTTTTTTTTCTATTTTCAACAACTATTGAAAGAAAATATAGTACTGAAATATCAAAATGGGGAACAAATAAAGTGCAATTAATAACAATTCATTAACAATTTATGGTGCCAGATTTTGAGCAAATCTGGATGGTATTTTTTGAGGTTGTAAAAATCTGTTCTATTGTCCAGCATATATCAGTTTTGATGAGAGGAAGGGATGGGAAGAGAAAGAAAACTGAAGCTTTTAAGGAAAACACTATTTTATTGCAATGAATGCCACTGATTGATAATGTAATATCCAGATCTGGAAACTATGGTTTCAAAATACTTAGAGGGTAGCATGCTGGAAAAGACTATTCTACACATTGCACAAGTGATAAACAATCACAGTAGAATTGATATCAAATATCAGTTTATTTCATTCAGTTACTGTATGCTGGAAGGAGTTGTGATTTCAATACATTTGGAGAGGCTGAGTGGGAGAACTTTTTTCCATCTACTCGTGGTTTCCTGAGACTAGTAGGGTGATTTTAAAAAAAACCCTCAAAAGCTATATAATTTGCATGGTTACTATTAACTCTATGAATTAAACAAAAAAATATATAAGACCCATATTTCATGAAAAGAGTTAAAATTGCCTCTCATATGTTGTAGACATTAGAGTTTGTCATGGATTAGAATCCTTCCTCTAGAAAATAAGACACAGGAGAGTTGGAATATTGTCAATGTCAGGCAATAACATCATAAGTCAATAGAGAAGAGGGGGGGGGATTAATGAAGCAAAAGTTTTATCTGAACAATGGATCTACTGAAGTGTTCCGGGAAGCAGTCTAATGCTGTACATGTAGTCAATCATCCTGTATGCCTAATAGAGGAGAAGGGATATCTAGAATATATGTAAGCAGTAGTGGGACTTAAATAACTTAACGACCAGTTCTCTGGCTGGATATGTGTGGCTGGTTGGTCATGTGACTGGGTGGGTGACATCACTCATCACACCCAGCGCCACTTCCTGGCCACTCTCCTCAAAGGCGGAGGTAGGATTCAGCCAGTTGGAGTTAATCCCACCACCGGCTGGCCCTGCCGCTGCCCATTTTTTGGTCTGTTTTTGGCTGGGATTTTTTTTTTTTTTTGGCTGTTTTCAGGCCAGTTTTGGAGGGTTTCTTGAATCTAGCAATAGCAATAGCAGTAGCAGTTAGACTTATATACTGCTTCATAGGGCTTTCAGCCCTCTCCAAGTGGTTTACAGAGTCAGCATATCGCCCCCACAGTCTGGGTCCTCATTTCACCCACCTCGGAAGGATGGAAGGCTGAGTCAACCTTGAGCCGGTGA